TAGTTGGTAGATGCCAGATTAATACCTTCCAATTTATTCGACTGCATTTTGTAGATTAAACTAAAATCGTACGCACATTTCTTCTGCAAAAAATCAATAAGTGATAGGTAGGTAGGTGTAACGCAAATATTTTAAATACAGGCGTCATCGATATCATTTTAATCTTTGATTGCAATGACATCGTTTTTGGAAATCAAAGCAGACCTCAAGTTCAACAATTCTGTGATGCTACTCCTGGGCAACTCATATTTACCAATGCAGTGCACCCTTCATCAGCCTACCTCTTGAAAAATTTCAAATGTATGGTATGGGAAATAAATGGTTTTAACATTTTTATGCCTGTGTTATTCGATATTCAGTGTAATTATATGGATTTGGCTTAGTGCATTAATTTCTACGGCTGGAGCGCGAAATGTATATGCATGTTTTCCACTTGTAATACTATAATCAACGCAGCTTGCCAGTTCTGGAAATTTCTGTTTAATTATTACTCCAAGGATACATCTTTTTAAGCACTCAACCAAAACACACAGGCTAATTTTTATCACTTTTAACGTATAACTATAAACGAATACAATTTGGGTATATCCTTATTTCTGTAATATTTAATTTAGAATTTTACTTATATTCTGTCAATACGTATTAACTTTTGATGCATCTGGTAATTAATCTCCTTTGTAATCCTCTCCTATCAGAATCCACTGAAACGTTTGTTCTGACTTGGGTGACACAAAGTGCAACACAAGAGACCACTGTTCTATATGGTGTTGAACGACCGGAAAACGTCGTTCATGGGACCCAAACGACGTTTACAGACGGTGGAAAGGAGCAAAGGAAAACATACGTTCACTCAGTTACCCTCTCGGATCTGAAGCCGGATACGCAATACGGTGAACTTTATTAGATTGCAAAATTTTAAGTCAGCCGAAGATCGAAGTACAGTTTCTCTAAATAGTCAAACACGACCTTTAGCAAGTCGCCTTTAATTCAATCTGTCCAATCCAACTTTGAGTCAATGCAGGACCAAGCAATTGCTGTTTTTACTCCGTTTAAGTCAGCTTATTTTAATAATAGAGTGGGAAAACAAAAGCATAACACTTGAAATCGGGTACTTCAAAGGGAATCTTTTACCCATCTTTGACAAAATGTAGGCACGCTGGTAATCTTTTTAACGTTCTGTCTTTAGTAAGGCGAGCAACTACGTCTAGCTGAGGATAAAGGCTGGATATTTTAGGCGTACGTTTTTTCACCGAAGCTATCGTCTAACGCGAAATGCTGTTAGAATTTGGCAAAAGTCTCCTAGCCACTCATAAGAAACACATTATCACTTTTTGCGGATGCAGCAGTGGTCATTTTTTAATACAGTTTTTATTAGAAAGCAAAATACACCTAATAGAGCATTTTTTGTTTAATAGCATATATCCCAAAACACCGTGTCTCTGAATTTTAGCCATAACAAGCTGATTGTTTACTTAATTAAACTATATGGCATTGAAGGAATTATAAACATACGAAATAAACGATTAAATGTCCATATCAAAACGACAAAGCACGTTTTATAAACAATACTGCTTAAACTTTATTTTTAAATCACGCTAACGCTTATTGCTATATTATAAACAATCAGTATTTATTCAATTTTTTTAAGAACCGCACGTACTTACGAGCTCACATTACTATATTTAATCGTTTTTTCATTTATGGTGCAGTGTACACAGTCGGTTCAGATGTGGCAAAATTGGGGAATCCAGATCACTGGTCGTCTACCTTCAAATTCAGAACGATGCCATCAGGTTCCAATTGGACCTTGCGATTCGCTATGTTAGGTGATATGGGAGTGGAGAACGCAGTTTCGCTACCCACTTTGGAGAAAGATGTCACCGAAGATAAATACCACATGGTTATCCACAATGGTGACTTTGCCTACGATATGGATGACGTAAGTTGCAAGTACTTTCCTATTTTAGTGTGAAAGGTGGGTCAATAGCATTATCGGTATCGTTATCAGTATTTAACTATTATATGTTGGAGTATGGAAGTCAATATTTGAGAACTGAAAGTTGTGGAATCGCATAAGTTTAACATAATACTATTCCTAAATATTTAAAATAGGTCGAATTCACAACTCGCTAAAACAATACAATGCAGGAGTTTAACAATCACACACCTAAACAATGCAAATATTTGATCCGTTAATTCAATCTCTGGGAATTCAGACTATAAAGGGGCTGCTCTTTTTTAAGTAGTTTCTTGCTTGTAATATATATCAGAATACCCGGGCGTGAATAAGTTCTTGCATATCACAATGCTAATAGATGTTATGAAGATCAAAAATTCAAAGCAATTATACCATAAATAGTACTCAAAATTTTCCACATTTTTTTTAACCATTTGACCACAGGACAACGGACGCGTTGGAGACAAGTTTATGAATCTCATTCAGAATATAGCAACAACGGTTCCCTATATGACAAGCGTTGGAAATCACGAAGAAGCCTAGTGAGTTTTATTTTCTTTGCTTCACAAAGCGCTCCGAAAGCAAATTATTAATGAAAGTGTGCGTTTTGGGTTTTCCCAATAGAACAACTATTTATTATGTAAACTAATTATAAAGAATTATTGCCAGACAGTCCTTGAATGTTTTTACGCTTATACAGAAAATCGCTACCCTATTAACTATTTTATGTAACAGTAGATGAAAAGACCGGAAGTGTACACAGTGAAAGTTGTTTTGAGCGAATTCAGATGGCATAAAACTTTAATCCAAACTATTGAAGATTTGGCAAATAAACATGGGAGGAAAAGAAACAGACGATCATTTTCGGAATTTTTGTTGAGAACCTTCGTTCATTTATATTCGTTTTAATTCAACTAGACGGAAAAAATTTGCACAGCTCATTTTTAAGACAATTGAAGTGAAACTGATTAGGGTTTCCAATAATCCTGAGACCGAGTCGCAAGTTATAGTTTCGTTTAGTTTTGTTATGGATAAGGAACAGAAAGTTATACAATCTCACTCAGTAACAATATATACAAAAAAACAAATTATAGCAATTTAAAACCACGGCTGGGCTTAGTGTTCCAGTGCGTGAAGCAGAAATTCCTTATAAATTATTTCTCGGTCGGCTTTTAATATTTGTACTAACTGTTATGGATAAAATTCTCAACAAACGATCTTTACTACTCTGACTTGCAAAGGTATTAGTTAATTTTTTGAAAAAAAATCAAGTAATTATGCTACCAGTGTATTACATGGAAAAACTTACATCTTTTGGATATAATATACCATAGTACCTAGGTGTCATTTGACTCTCAAAAAGGTAATTAGTGTAGGGAATGTCAGATAGCGAAAAGATCATTAATCAGGATGTACATGGTAAGTTTTTATTTTATTTTTAGTAACTTTTCACACTACAAGGCTAGGTTCCGGATGCCAGGATCCTTTGAGAATCTTCTATACAGGTAAATATTTTTAATTTGATAGTTTATGCGGGCAGTGAACCTTGACCTTTAACATTTTGTTCACAACAACGCCTGTGTGGAGTACTCCCAATATACATATTGACAAATGTGTATCACGTCAATATCGCACGCATAAACAAAAGAAATCGGATAAGATCATTAATCTAATGACATTCGTGAACTTATTGGGACTATTTCTGGTAAAACCAAGTCTTACTTAAATTTCACGACCATTTGAGACATTTTATGCGGACTGTCAAATCAGTATTCAGCATGTTATATTTAGCAGTTAGTTTAAATGATCTACTACTATGTAACCAAAAATAACAAATGTCAGGCTTAATTAGTTTAAGCGTTTTACGAAGGCACGTCCAAGCTTCTCCCCTGGCAGGAGCACGTTCCGATTTCCACTGCCTGCGGAAAATATCCTACATTAACGGACAGGCCGTAGTAAAAGTTTGTCTAAATTGTATTAGGTATTCAGCTGGCCAAATAACTTGTCAAACTGTAGCCTTAATTAGAGCTAGATTTGTCAGATGTTATCGGTGGCCTGTCAGTTTCTGGTTCAGCTAACGTCTGCAGCTAAGGTCTGTAAAACTTTCAATTATTGTCACGTACAAAGGTAATCACTGCAGGGCATGGGAGAAAATACTTTTTTTCCGCCATTCCATTAAAATGCTTTTTTGAGCAAAGCCCGGATGGTGCTACCAACGTAATTGTGAAGCCAAGCATAGTTTTTTATCCACAAAGGCACGCGACCTCTAGTACGGCTGTAAAACAAAACCTGCGATGGGAATTTGTAATCTCTTTACTGTGCGGATTTATCTTCCACATCTAAAGTAGAAGCTATTGTCATCAAGTCTACGGAAGTTGCGGAACTTGCTCCGTAATTAGACTGAAAACTGATAGTTTTCGCATTCCGGTCATTGCAAATTTTGAGGGAGCTCCGAGAGCACAAAAGCGTCACGCTGGTCAAACTCGGACAAAAAAATGACCAAATAAAATGCGAGTCTCATTAAATTGAAATGAGGTCAAAGATAAGAATGTTACTGAGTTACATTTGGCTGTTTCACTCTCCATAGGCAAGTCTTTCTCCCATACACGAACCCATTGTGGGTTTTTACTTTACTTGTTTTGGGAAAAATGACAAACTTTACATGGGGCAATTCAGCCGCCAGATGCGCGAGATGCTATGGACGGCAGATTTATAATTGTCCCGCAACTAACTGTCAGAGGGCTGTTCACTTACAGTTTAGACTCCTGCAAAATCTAACATGACTTTGAACGCCACTAGCAGGCCTCTGACTG